TGATTAAGGTGTTTTGTTATTTCCTTTGTGTTTTCTTGCCATGTCATACGCATACCTGAAGTGGTGTATACAAATTGTGTTTAAATGTACCAAATTTCAAATTCTCAAATTGTTGAGGTTGATAAGTAACAATAGCTCAGCTGGTATTTTTGTTATACGAACTAGTCACTTTTATGTGCGTAGTCTTATGTACGACATTTATTCGGAGAAGCCAGATTTACTTCTGTGCTTATTCTTCTGTCATGTATTCGCCTGTCTTTTTTTCTTATTCAGTGTTCTTTACATTCAATGCCTAGAGTTAAACAAATTCCTTAACAACTACTTACTTCACCGGAATGTCTCTGTTATATATGATGAATGATGTAATTAACATGAATAACACTCAAGATGCCACAATAAATGTTAACCTTATGAATAGAGAAGAGGGTGACAACTCAGACATAGCAGCATTTCTAAATTCAACAACTCCTGAATTGCAGCTTGAAATCGATTCTAATGAGATTTTTCCTCAGCATTTGTTTACTGGTTACCTCCTAGAAAAAGAGCTTACGTCATCACCCTATTCAAATTCTAACCAACTCTTTGCCTCACATTTTAATATTAGGAGTCTTAGCAAAAATTTTGATCAGTTCCAGTTACTCATTAACGATTTAAAATGTAATCACGGAGTCATAGGTGTTTGTGAAACTTGGCTCAATGAAATGTCACATTCTTCACTATTTGATATTCATGGTTACAGACTTATAACCAGTAACAGGACAAATAAAAGGGGAGGTGGAGTTGGTTTTTATGTCACCAAAAACTTGAACTGTGAGGTGTTAGTTGAATTTAGCCATATGTCAGAAGCTATCGAAAATATCTTTATTGAAATTAAAGTTCCAAACAAGGGTAATTTAATTGTTGGAGAAGTATATAGGCCGCCGAATTCAAACCCTATTGAATTTATTGAATCACTCCACGCCCTTTTATCAGAGAAATACTTTGAAAACAAGACATGCATTATTATGGGCGACTTCAATCTCAATATTTTGAAATGTCGAGATAACCACAACTGCCGTGATTTTCTCAATTTGATGTTGTCTAAATCTTATATTCCTCTCATTAGGAAACCCACCCGTATATCCGATGTTACTTCTACACTTATAGACAATATTTTTGTAAACAATCTATCTTCCCTAGTCACTTCTGGTATAATTGAATCTGATGTTACTGACCATTTTCCCATTTATGCTCTCATATCTTCTTTCATGACAAAGAATTCTGATCGTTCGCATACTTCAAATATTCGTGTAATGTCAGAAACAAATCTCAATAGACTTAGGGAGAGATTGAGATCTGTTGATTGGTCACCTGTTTACAATCATAGTGATGTAAACATTTCGTATGAAAACTTTATTTATTTATTAACATCTAACTTAAATTCAACCATACCTCTCCAGAAATCAAGTTTTTCCAACCATAAAAAAGATTCCTAAAAGTCCTTGGATCACGAAGTGTCTCCTTAAGTCTATTAATAGAAAAAATAAACTCTTCTATAAACACAGAAAAAATCCGAATGCTCGAAATAAGGCTCAATACGTTCGTTACCGTAATGTCCTCACATCGTCTTTACGTTTACGTCTAAACAATTGTATTTCTCACGCCAGTTTGAAAAGTACAAATACGATATAAAGAGTACGTGGAGGGTGATTAACGAGGCTTTGAAAACTAAAAACGATACCGATCCCCCTAAGTATATTCTTAAAAACAATTGCAAAATCGATGATCCCTCAGCCATGGCTGAGGTATTCAATGACTTGTTAGTGAATATAGGACCGAATCTGGCCAATACTATCCCAAAGTCAGATTTAGAGTTTCAAAATTTTCTAAAAGCTCCTAACCCTCAGTCTCTTTTTTTCACACTAGTTCTAGAGATTGAAATAAAAACTATTATAACCAATCTAAATACGAAGAAGGGTTCGGGATATGATGGAATCACAAATTTCCTTCTTAAAAATATTATTGATGAAATAATTTCCCCTCTCATATTCATTTTGAATTTGTCTTTAACCACGGGCACAGTCCCACAAAATATGGAAATAGCCAGAGTCGTCCCTATTTTTTAAAAAAGGTCAAAAAGAATCCCTCAATAATTCGTCGCTGTTTTCACGAAGTGACGATAGTGAAAAAAAATTGCATTCACTTTGCGTTACGATTTTCCTCACTACCGTCACTTCGTGAAACAAGGACGAATTATCGTCCGATTTCACTCTTAACATCCATTTCTAAAATACTCGAAAGGTTGGTACACACCCGAACACTAAATTTTATTACACATAGCAAAGTTTTATGTGACTCTCAGTTTTGTTTTCGAAAGAATCACAGTACAATTCATGCTTTATTATCTTTTATAGACAAAATAGCCCACGCAATTGACAACGTTTCTCACACTATTGGGGTTTTTCTAGATTTTTCAAAAGCATTTGATACGATTAACCACGATATTTTAATTTACAAGTTACGTCACTATGGAGTTCGCGGAGTGCCTCTAGACTGGTTCATAGACTATTTAACAAATAGAAAACAGTTTGTCAGTTTGTCCGGTCATGATTCCCATTTTAAATTGGTTACCTGTGGTGTCCCTCAAGGCTCCCTACTTGGCCCGCTTTTGTTTATTTTATATATTAATGATCTCAGAAATTCCTCCCAGCTACTTTCATTCATTTGTTTTGCGGATGATACTAATTTATTCTTTACACATCGTGACCCTCGTACTCTAGTTGACACTGTTAATAAAGAACTTGTATCTGTTCAGTCCTGGATTTATGCAAACTAGTTATCACTAAATATAGGCAAAACTTAGTAATACACTAAAAATACTTCCTAATCGTGTCAATTTTAACAATACTGAACTGGAACAAGTCGACTGCACTAAATTTCTAGGACTTTATATTGATAGTGATTTATCTTGGAAATCCCACATTACTAAATTGAGCAAGGTCCTCTCAAAAAATACTGGTATACTTAATAGACTTAAACACTTTTTTCCAAATAAAATTTTATTATTAGTTTATTCTGCTATAATGACTCCATACCTCACCTATGGAATTCTCGCCTGGGGTAACGCTAGTGGAAATCTAATAAATATGCTTTTTCGCATTCAAAAACGCGCTATTAGAAATATTAATCATGTAGGATACCCTTTTCACACCAACAACCTGTTCCATGAAAACAGAATCCTAAAATTATCAGACTTATTCTATTGCAATGTTGGTATATTCATGTACAATTTATCTACTAATAACCTACCTGAAATATTTGTACAAATGTTCGGGAAAAATAGATCCCTACATGATTATCCCACACGTCAGAGCGACGCATACCACCTTCCACGTACCCGAACAGTTTTTGCCCAAAAAACGATTATGTTTACAGGACCCAGTTACTGGAATGCCCTCCCGTTAGGGTTAACTGAAAGTCCTTCCTTATATACTTTTAAACGTAAACTGAAGGAACTGCTTTTCAAAGCATATCTTGATGTCAATATATGACCTGTGCGTGCAAGCACGTTGTGTCTGGTTGTCCTGCTTTCGGAAATACGTATTTAAAAAAACACACAACAACAACAACAACAATAAAACATCTTTACTTCTATATCCGAGAGTGCGACGGCTGACACAGTGTGCTTGCTTGCTTCGTTATTCTATTCAAATGTATGTAATATACAAATGTATTCATTTTACTATTATCTGTAATGTTCGTTTACCAGCTGAGCACCCATTGTATGATAATTTAAGTACGTGTACTTTTATCTACACTGTAAGAAAGGAAGGGATAATATAAACAGCACCACCGCAAGTTAATTATTATTTCCTTTTTATTTTTGAATTATTTAGATTGGTCACTATTTACATGTATATCCGTCCTCCATTTATTACCACAATTACTTTACTGGGGTCTACAGCCTTACAAGCTTGCTTTCATGTAGGTCCCATCATATTTCTCTTAGTTAAATCACAAATTCATATTGACCACTTATTTTTGTTATTATTACGTGTAATTGAAAAAAAAAAGAAAAAAAAAATTGTACTTCATTTGAAATATACGTATGTTTATGAGAAATATGAAAATAAATGAAATGAAATGAAATGCGTCAATAATATTTTTTCCGTTAGCTTTGAGAACGATTTGTAGTAATGATAGGAAGAAGGCCAGTGCCCTATTGCGACGCCAGAAGAAGCCAAGGCTTTTCGGTCAATATCAGTCACTGTGATAAGCGGACTTTTTCAGTACACAATTTGTTTAAACAGTATGGAACAACTAATCACGGACCAAATCAATGTCAGGCAATGTTATGTTACTCTTTCCGGGCCTTATTTCGAAACTAGATGATTTAGATCAAGGTGTCCCTGAGAATAAGATTCATCGGGATTTCACTTACCATGTTTGTCTGTGTTAAGTTTTATATTGTCAGCCTGTTTTTTAAAAGTATTTATCGTATTGTATCGTAGTTTCATGTGTTTTTTTACCTTCATTTTGTTGTTTATAAGTTATTTTATTTCTTTGTTCCATGTTCTCTACTTCTCTAATTTCTCACATCGTTATTTATTTTCATTTGTTCTCTAGCCCTCAATCTCTTTGCTTCGTTTTTTGTTCTCTCTCTATCTTTCTTTGATTTAACTACATTCTTTTACATTCACCTCTCCTCCAATCGTATTCATTTTTATCTCCATGAATATCCTACCCTTTATCTATCTGTCTGTCAATATCTCTCCCCATTTAAGTTTCATTCGAATATAACTCACCAGAATATTGATGTGCCTTGATTTCATTGTTAAATATTTGTTTTGTCTTGCTGAACTTTAAGATTATCTGTTATGTATATTTTGTATTTTTCTTTTACAGCAGTTAATTGACTGACGAGAAACCCCCGTTTTCATAAAAACTGAAGAAAAAAAAAAAGAAGTGAATAATGAGTAAATAACCTAATAACTATGAAAACTAAATCGTTTTTGTTTTACCTTAGAACAGTTATCGACCCGTTGCTCACAGTCGATTCGTCCGAAAACTATTTCGACCAAACTAACAACTTGATCAAACGTAACATTCTGTTCCGGGTTGTTCAAAAAATCGAATTCCTCTCTCTTATCCGCCAGCTCAACCTCCAAAAGATAATTTCCAATTTCCACGTAGTCGTCATCATCCTCGTGTTCGTGTATTTCCCTCGAGTCCCTGGCCAAGCTCGCGACCGTGATCGCAAGAAAGTTTGTCAGGATGGCGAGCAAGAGAAATCTGGTGCACACGGTACGTAGGTACGCCATTTTGAATGAAGAACTTTTCCTGTACTGTGCGCCTATGGGTGTGTTACATGCAACTGTTACGTGTAGTACTGTGTGCAAAATGCCTATACGTGCCGTGTGCAGGCAGCGTGAAGACGACCCAAGACATATCAATAATACATGTTAATAAAGCATACTGCAAACAGTCTTTTATTGACTAAGTCTTCATCAATCCTACTGTCTTGATTTTTCCGAACGTCAAGCCACGCCCACCGATACATCAATCTCGACCTTTGGACTGTTAATTAAAGGTATTATATTGCTAAATGTGTAAGCTTGTACAAGCGCCATACATTTGTCAATTTATCCGGTCGTTTATGTAATACTCGTAGACCTTACCTGCTGCGGATCTTCAAATCTTAAAATCTCATAACTTAATGTAAATGTGTAGCTTAAAAATGGACTTTAACATTTCTCTATGAGATTATAATAATAATAAATTGTTTCTTTTATAGCGCTTTATCCAATTTACAAAACACAAAAGTCAATGATTTAAAACTCAACCAAATATTTGATAGAAAATGTAATGCAGTTAATAACAATATAAATAGATGTGTTTTGAGATGTTTCTTAAATACTTCAACTGACATACTACAGCGCTATTCACGAGGTAACCTATTCCATGTAACCGGACCACTGGAATAAAAACTTCGCTCACCTATCTTCGATTTTATTCTAGGCACATGGAAAGCCGTTCATACATCTGTTCATACCTGTAAAATATAGAAATTTATCATAGAAGATTTATTCATGGGTTGACATAAAATTGCAATTTTCTGCACTGTATTGAGAACAGGGAATTTTAAAAGTTCTGTTTTTTATTGCACATATTTCAACTAGTCCTGGCTAAATAATACACAGAAGCTTTTTTCAAATAATGTAGTTATTTAAAAAAAAAATGGCCGATAGCCCTGCACGACATCGTCGACCACAAAACCGACGGCCTTTCAACCCACAGCGGGCCTTCTGAACAATTTCTGAGAGTTAAAAAAACTGTAGGTTGTCAATTTACATGGACGCCCCGCTCTTTTATAAGGAAGGAAACGCAAGAAGAGAAAAAAAAACAGGAGAAGAAAAAGAAGGGGAAAGAGATGAAAAAAAAAGGAAGAAGAAAAACATGAAGGATGAGGAGAAGGATGAGGATTTATTTACTTATTTAATTTTTTATTCATATTTTATTGTCCACTTGTGTGATGGATCATAGGGTCTACTCTTCTGAAATCATATCATATGCAATAGAGTCGATGTGTGTGTACGTGTGTGTGTGTGTGTGTGTGTGTGGGGGGGGGGGTGGGTATTAAAATAACCCACAACAAAACACAACAACAACAAAAAATTCAATGAATTTTTTGCTTTAAAAATGCAACTTTTATATTTGTACCCAAATTAATCGATATTAGGACTGATGCGATATTTAGAATTGGAACAAGAGAATTTGTTTTCGTTGCCTGTAAACAATGTGTCATATAGCAACCTGTCGATGCTTAGCTTTTTTCAAGTTGAAAAGATTTCAAGTATCTGGATGTTTTTGTTAAATGACCATTTGGGCGTTACATTATTCTTGTAGCTGCAGCAGTTACCACTGGAAGCACAGAATCTGCGATACCCGCAATCTCACTGCCTACCATCCCTTCAGCTCTGATGACTACATCCCTCCTCCAGTCGGCTCTTATCCCTACTTCATCTGCTAGTATACTGGTAAGATATTCATGATGGTGGTGGTGGTGGTGATGGTAGTGGTGGTGGTGGTGGTGGTGGAGGTGATGATGGTGGTGGTGGTGGCGGGTGGTGGTGGTGGTGGTTGTGATGATGATGGTGGTGGTGGTGGTGGTGGTGGTGATGATGGTGGTGGTGGTGCTGGTGGTGATGATGATGATGGTGGTGCTGGTGGTGATGATGATGATGGTGGTGCTGGTGGTGATGATGATGATGGTGATCGGTGGTGATGGTGGTGATGGTAGTGGAGGAGGTGGTGGTGGTGGTGGTGGTGTTGGTGTTGGTGGTGATGATGATGGTGCTGGTGATGATAATGATGATCAAAAAGATGATGGTGATCGGGGTGGTGATGATGATGATGATGATGATGGGTCATGTATATATCTTGCAGAGCTAATGAACTGTTAATTAATGCCCCTTTTTTTTTACTCACAACAGGACACTATTCACTTTTTCTTGGGAAGGGAAGCACAAACAGGGAATAAACAGAAGAAATTTCTTGGCTTGATGAAATCTGTCAATCAATGTGTCTAGAAAATGTGTGCACTAAAGGGGAAGCAACATTTCATCAGAGGTAGGTCAGGGTCCTGTTTCATCAAACTTGTTATCAATAACATCTGCCACAGATCTATGACCAATCTCTTAGCCAATCAAATGCAATGATTTCAGTATCTCATTAAACAATCATTGCATCTCGTTATTGATAAGTAGTTTTATGAAACTAAGTCAAGATCTTGAGGGGCACCCAGAGTTTGCCTCTCTACACCCTGGGGGGGGGGGGGGGGTTGTTTCACAAAGATCCTAAGTCGAATTTAACTCTAAGTTGGACTTAAGAACTATGGAAAGCCGTAAGCATCTTAAAAAATATTTTGTAACAGTTTTTTTTTAAAGGCATAAAATGTTGATTCAAATCATTCATAATTGCTATTTTCAAGGAAATTTCATGTTCTTGATGTGGAATTTATGAAAAGTCTAAAATACTTGAATTGATGTTTTTTAACATGTTCAATTTTAATGCTACCAATGACTCTCCATAATGTTCAAGTCCAACTTAGAGTTAAGTTTGACTCAAGATATTTGTTGAACACCCACCTGGTGAGGTAAATGGTCAGCAAGACTTGCTAGATCACTGCATTTGCAACAGTGCTAAAGGACGGATAATTTAAATCACATTTATTCATCAATTCCTCAGTTTTGTTGTAAATCATTGCATTCTTGCCACCTTGATAAACTACGTACACACAGTATTTATTTTTGTTAAAGAGATTATTTTTTAGTACAGATTCTTGACCATCACTTGTAATTTTAAATTACTTATGCTCTTGCAACAACCCTCATTATGTTGTTGTGTTATGTACATGTGTAATATGAGATTAATTCTGTACAATAAAATTTTCCTTGAAAATGTAGTTTTCTCGGCATTGTTGTGTTATTTGAATTGTAAAGCTACATGTACATGTACATTTATATTGAGGTCTAGAACATGGTTTTATTTGTTTCATTCTGGATTGTTTGTGCCCAAGTAGATTGATTGTTTGAACCAGTAAGATAAAAAAAAAAACCTCACAAAATATTGCTGGATATCATCTTTACAACCCCCCCCCCCCCCCCCCCAACTCTCATTTGCACATAAAGACCTGTGTTTAAATAAGCACTTGGTGCCGGGCCTACTTACACGGATTTCCTCATCATAAGCACATGGTGTTAAGCCTATCTACCAGGGTTTCCATTTCCTTCTAAGCTCTCTACTCAGCCCCTATACATTTTCTACCAAAATCGTTTGGCGCATGTCATTAATTGATCATCTTGAACATTCAGTGTAAGTTTTGTTGGATTATGTGAGAATTTATTTCATATCATTACCACTACTCAAGCTTATCTTCAAACGGTCTTGTATTAAAGATGAAGTTAAGTTCTGGTCATGCGATTGCATTGTGAAAGAAACGGTGTGGAACCGACCAGAAAAGGTTGATCATCTAGCATATAAGAATTTGTGTGTTTTGCAAGGTTCTGGGATCATCAAAATGATAAGAAATGTGGCCAAGTCTTGGTAAAGTTACAAACACTTGCACAGAAAGATGTATATGGGACTACACGAACACGTGGCGTAAAAAACCGCCCCCCCCCCGATTTTTACAATGTTACATTCATATTTAGAATATGACGGCATTTAAAGAGCCATGCTTTTCAGGGAATATGTCTTAACTGATGTTCTTCCACACTTGCATAATAAGAATGAGTAATGCTCACAAATTATTTTTCACCTCTTCCCAGAACTCAACTTTCTCTTTAAACTGCATTGCCTTGTTAGAGATGAGAGATTTCAATGCTTATGGTAGTAGACATACAGTCAACAACTTAATTATTCATACCTCTTGTAAATGTGATATTCTTCAGTGTGATTATTGGACATAATAATGCTTGCCAAGTTTGAGCATTGTTATGGGGTCAATTGAAAATAAAAAGAATACTAAGCAGAAATTCAGTGGAAGGAGTAGGACACTAGCTTTATGAGGCGTACTTTGAATCACATGGTCAGGTTACCCAAACTTTTGTGAGGCATACACCTATATTCACGAAATGTCTGGGGTAATGTTTGGCGAGCTGTTTAGTCGTCAAGAGAATCTTCATTCCAAAGGTCTGCATAAAATATGTAAAAAGTTTTACCCCCCCCCTCTCTCTCTCTCTCTTTCCTCTCAATCGAATTTCGCCCTCTCCCCCATTTATTTTCTCTTTCACTCTCATTGCTTATTGCTCCATTTTCCTTAGTCCAGAATCTGGCCTATTTAATTTTGATCTCCACCACACAAACGCCACTTTCCCTAGCAGCCGAAGATATTAAATTAGGACGCCCGGCGAAACAAAAATTCTCAGGCTGGGCTGGTGAGAGCATAATTATGAGTTCGTTGATAACGCCATCGTCGGCGGTTTGAATCAAATGATTGTGTAGGCAGGGAATATAAAGAACTGGCCAGATTCTGGACTACTCTTTTCTCAGACCTACCATTCTTGTTGCATTTATTCTACCTTTCTCTCAAGTTCTCTAAATTTATCGTTCGACTTTCTTCGTTGTGAATTAAAAAGAGACTAAAATTGATACTAAAATTATAAAATGAACAATTTATTGCATATCACAAGAGCGTCCATATAATTTCATATGTGAATACAATTTGCAAGCATTTATGTGTTCAGTAAGATATCCGCTTCGTTTTCGATGCAATTATAATATGAATTGATTATATCATACAACCTCGAGAAATGCCCCCCCCCCCCACCCCCCTTAGACCTAGGCCATGAAAAGGCCGATCGCCGCCAAAAAATAGAATACAAACTATGGTAGTTTCAATTTTTGTAAAATTCACTCATTTGCATATTTATGGTAATTTATGCAAACGAGGTCGTACAATTCACATTTTTACCCATAAATTATATATTCTTCATATTGAAACATTCGTTTTCACTACGTATATTCTTTACACCATTTTGAATAATTACACAAACAACAACAAATAGCGATTTGGGGGCTGACATGCAAAGACAAAATTTCACATGACTTAATTCAATGTTCGAAGAAAAAAATGTTTTAAAAGATGCGCAAGACTGTGAAAGCTTAAAAGTGCCACTCAGATATAAGAGGGCAAGATCCCGGATCTCATCGAACAGATGATCAGATGACGAGATTCTGGCTCTCACGATGTCGACATCCTTTAGGTTTTCTGTTTACAAAGAGTTCTTAACACTGGAATATGGTAATAAGAAGATTATTGTCTCGTTGGGTAGTGTTGCTGCCCCCCCCCCCTCCTCCTCTCTCTCTCTCTCTCTCTCTCTCTCTCTCCCACACACACACGCACATTATGTCAGGGGCAGCCGAGCGGTTTCCAAAGTGGGGGGGGGGCACCAAGAAAAAGGGAACTTTCTGGAAAAAAAAGGGCACCTACAAAAGGAAATCTCACAGCGAAAATATACAATTTTTTAGACATTGGTATATTCCCCTTCATTGTGATTACAATTATCAGTGACGATTCATTTTGTTTCACTTTTACACCATACAAGATATTGCTTAAGCATCATGATTTGCAGTTGGTTTTGATTGTCTAAAACCTTGTTTGCGAGCGAGCGAAGCGAGCGAGGAAAAATGTTATGATGAGTGAGGTCGCGGTGCGAAAAATTAGATCTTTTAAACAAGGTGAGCGAAGGTTTCAAAAGGCTTTTAACCTTAATAATGTTGGCATCATTGCAAAGTTAATGTTACAATCTTTCGAATGGTTCATATTTAGTTTTCAAAAATTGTTACAGATTTGACTTATCTGCTTTTAAAAGTGGTGAAATTACTACCCGATTATTCCGCCCTTGATCGGCCCGCTATTGTGACGTACGATTTGTGACGTATGTTGGACACATGAGCGAGAGTGCGATCCTCAAGCTCTCACACAACTCTCGCCTGCATGCATTATACGTTTACAAACGCCACTCGAACGCTAAATATCTGATCAAAATGTCCGACCTCGAAGAAGAGGTTTTACTCGAATTAGAATTCGAAGTTGATGGGCACAGCTCCACAATAATGGTACTGGTAGTGATAGTGATCGATGATGATGATGGTGATGGGGATGTAGGAGAGATGGAAGAAAGAGAACAATTCGGAGAAGACGGCGTCGATGCTGGTACAGGTCAAGTGATAGCATATCAGCGCGAGCTGGCCGAGTTTCCAAGCTGCAGCTCAGCTCCCCCGGCCCCGCTTAACTGGCGATCGATCTGTCATGACTGGGCGAGACATTTTCAAATTTTTCGGGATGTGTGGGGCTTTTTGGCAAATTTCACGGATAATAAAACAAAGATGATTAGATGTGAGATTATATTTGGCGAAAATCAATTACAAATATGCACCATTCATAAATAGAACTGCAGACTGCAGGACATCATACAAAATAATACAAAAGGACGCCCGCGATTCACTCATCATGGTCTCCGTATAATCAACAGCAATCACTATCACGCCAAGGCATGATGACCGAACAAATACAAAACATCTCAGCAAATTACACAGAACGGTAGGGTATTTGGACAAATCAAATTACACGATTCACCCCTCGTATTATATTACATAAATTTGCTTAATATTACATTTAATTACATGATTTCTAGAGATTGTTATTCCACTTTTTGGTCAGGATATAAAGCATGCAAAGTCTGGATAATGTATAGCTATGCAAAATACCGCACGCGAGCTGTGCGAGAGGCGAGCTTAATTGAGGCCGATAATTGCGATCGTGCCCAACCAGGGACGTCATAATCGGCCTACTGCGCAAACAAAATGTTAAAGCCAGGAATTGTAGTTCTGAGAATTAAGGTTCTTGGAAAAAGCTTCTTACCGCGTTTCATTTATATTTACAAGACTTTAGAGCAGAATGTGTGTCTTCATATTGTTCTACGTACGCTATCCGGACATGTATAATTTGCCCATTTTTAATGATTATGTGAAATTTCTTCGCCAAGCTACTTTAAAGAGGAAAAAACCCAATCCTAATGGGGTTATAAGCACATTCTCATGACGGAAGACTGAAATGACCTTTGACAAGTATATCATCTGTAGATGCGTGCGAGCGTAGCGATCTTTGGGGGAAATTGCTCTTAGTCGCTTGAAATTAGCTAGGGCGCGTTTAATGATGAGAGGAAAAGGGGACACTTATCAGGAATGAAAAGGAGCATGTGCCAAAGTACTAAGAGTAATTAGTGAAAATGGGGAACTTCTTACACCCTCAAAAAGAGGCTCTCACCAGGGATGAAAAAAGTCAGTAAAGAGAATAGGAAATGGGTATTTGTCGTTGGAAAGGGGGCCCATCAAATTTTGATAGGGGCAATTATAAGAGGTGAAAAGGGGCATTTATGAAAAGGGAATATAGGTCCCTTATTAGAAAGGAAAAGGGCACGTATCATTGTTAAAAGGGAAATTATCAGAGGTGAGAAGGGGCACTTATCGCACCTGAAAAGGGGCAATGACCAGATATAAAAAGGGGCACTTATAATGAAGGAACATGTGCATTATGAGGATAGAAAATGGACACTTCTTGCAAAGGAAAATGGGAACTTCTCGAATGAAAAGAGGTACGTGCCCAAGTAAAAGGAGCAATTCTCAGAGTTAAAAAAAGGGAAGGGCACTTTAATAGGGGCACTTGTCAAAGTAAAAGGGGCACTTTACGGGTGCTTGAAAAGGTGGGGGGGGGGGGCACTTAGCCCCCCCTGCCCCCCGGGAGGGCCGCCTCTGCATTATGTTATATGTCCCATTTGTATCTCTTCACCCTCACATTTCCCTATATAGATACTGTAATAGCGTCCTCATACAGCGCTATTAACAGAATAATCCCAATTCCCGCCAAGAATCCAATATTCTGCAGAATAGCCACGGTGACCTTGTTGCTTTTCCCGTCGTATTGGTGTAACATCGGAAGCTGAAAAGGATAAGGAAAATGATTACCTTCTTTTATACAGTGGAACCTCGATATAAGGCGCTCTGATGAAACAAGGTATCTGTTATAAAAAGGTGATTAATGCTGGTCCAATCTCTCTCGATCTCTCTCTCTATATATATATATATTTGTTTTTAACCTGATATAACAATTTAGGTAATTTCCATGGTCTCAAGGACCTCGTTATAACAGATTGGAACTGTACTTCCTTTCATAATAACATTAGCGAGGATTATACTTCCGTTTAAATTATGAAAGCCTTTTTGAAGAGGCAACAGGAGCCTTCACGCTAGGGAACTTAATTATAATTCGTCGCTGTTTTCACGAAGTGACGGTAGTGAAAAAAAATTGCATTCACTTTGCGTTACGATTTTCCTCTACCGTCACTTCGTGAAAACAAGGACGAATTTTGTTATGCTATATGTTCATTTTGCAAAACAGATGTTGATTATGTACACGTAGAAGGCCAAACATTATGTACGTAGCTATTAAAACTAATTGCCCAAAAATATCTAAAAATCGTATCACTGGGCCCATTAGAACCAGGGATAATTTTTTACGAAACAGTGGCCTCTGTAAGTTTAGAAGTATGGAATGTAAAAGATATACATTAACATGAGATTCCCTTCATGTTTCTAAACATTTCTGATCAAATGATACTTATATGTCTACTTTGCAGGGTAAAGAGAGAACAATTTCTGACGTTATTACTGAGAAAGGAAATTAATGAAAACATAAATTATAGGTTTTATTTAGATCCTGAGTTGTTATCTCTATTGCTATCTAAATTGATTACCACAAGGCATACACATTTCATATACATATTGTTAAGGTATCTAGCTTGGCCTAGATTCGTGAAGATCCGAATTCGGATAAAATCGTTTATAGAAAGTCTCGGGTACACTTGCGGAAATTAAAAACATATCTTCGGAACGATTCGGTAAGTTTATCGGAAAACTTCGGGGAAGATCGTGCAGCTGCCGCTTACCATGTCAACGAGTCCAACGTAGAAGAACATGCCAGCAACAGCAGCGAAGATCCATTCCCGAGCGGTCTCGGTCTGTCCCAGCGGGATCCCGATCCACAAGCCGATGAATGCCGAACAAGCGCAAATCATATTCAACAGGAGTGCCGTTCGGAGTCGCATGCCCTGCTTCATGAGTACGGCCAGATCACCTAGAGAGAACAAATTAGAATAGCGTCGAACAATTAATTTAAAGCCCGTCCGTCTAGTTTGGCCAGGAGGGATTAGACCACCCAGCGTGGTCGGTGACAGGTGGCTTCTCATCAAATCAGCTCTCAACATATGAAAAAAGAGGATCGTGGGGGACCATCGGGCACCGCTTAGGCATTGTTTTCTATATAGAGGAGCAAGTAGCTACAAGTAGTACAGTGGGGCTTTAAATTCACTGTACGCAAAAATGTAACTGGACATCAATTTCGAAAGCTATTTTACTTGCATGGTATTTAGGATCAGTTATTGGTAGGTCTTTATTATTATCGTCATCCCTAACATCAACCACATCACAAACATTTTCATCGTCACCACAACCATCATCATCGAAACCATTTTTAGCACTATTTATCATCATTATAATCTTCATCATCACCGTAACCATCACCACCATCATCACCACCATCATCACTATCATCGGTGGTAGACGAGGTTCGTTACCTAGTTCGTGCGGGATCTCGTGGCAGAGGACAGCTATACTAGTTGAGAGTCCGGCAGCGATGCTCAGGGAGAATGCTGCCCCTATCGCTAGACCGTCACCGAAGTTATGCAACGAGTCGCCCAGGAGTATCATCATTGCTACCGGATTGCAACCTTGAAAGAAGAAGAAGAAGAAAACAGAATCATAAACAGTCAAAGAAATAAAATAAAAAAATAGACAAGGACTAAAAATAATGGTAGGCTCGTAGTAATAAAATTCAATAATATTCGATTGAAACCAAAGGTATGGAGAGATGAATGATACAAAACAAATGTACCCTTCTATTATACAAAGGATACTTAAAATACCTAATAGTGTCATTGAACAGTCGAAATACAAATAATATCAGTACTAAAATAGCATCTTAGGTTTCATAGTGTGAATATAATTCTGGCCAAGATTATGGAGAGATGAGAAATACAAATACTTATTATACATTCGAACTAAAATATGATCAAATGATAACCTGGGAGTTTTTGTTTAGTATTAAAGAGTCCCTTCATGATGTTCATAAACTTCTACTACTACTACTACTACTACTACTACTACTGCTGCTGCTGCTGCTACTACTACAACTACTACTTCTACTACTATTACTACTACTACTACTACTACAACTACTACCATATTGCTCCGATTGTCTCATTTTCGCTCGCAGGAACATTGCCAGCGCAAACCACTGAACTCTACCTCCTGGACGGATCATCGCCCATTCCCATTCACTATACGTTACGTACTAAAAGGCTGTATTGCCTGACCGTTCATGAATATTGATGTTTTTGCTTACCTCGGCAAAATTTTTGCTTTTACTAAATGGACAAATTACGGTGGGGGTTGGATGAAATGGACATAATGAACCAAGCAGAAGTGATCTATGATAAATCATGCTTCTTATCCTTCGTGTGCTTGACTTATAATCTTAAAATCGCTTGGCAAACTGAGTCCAAAGTTCGACTTGTTTCACATGTGTATTATAGGCAATGACGAGCTTGCAACCTATTTTGATCAAATTACGGTGGGTGAACTTCCAAAGTCAATGGGACATGAGGGTTCCAATGAAAGAGCTAGTGATAACGTAAGTCGGGGTGGATGTGCTTTTCGTTTAAACAAAAAATGAATTTTTAACGATTTTTTGGGGATACAATTCCATAGGCTAACATGTATGGCTGCTGACTCTGACGATAGGGGGCGTTGTGAAATGAGACTAAACGGAGCTATATGTACTACTACTACTACTACGTCTGCTACTACAACTACTACGACTACGACTACGACTACGACTACTACTACTACTGATAGTACTACTACTACTAGACTGTACTACACCCACAACAAAAAGTGAGTCATTTGACACATTTAAGCATAATTTTCGTGAGTCAGGTGTAAATTGACTCATTAGTAACAACCAATGAGTCTCTATTGACTCATTTATATTTCACCAGTGTGTCAATCATGAGCTGACGCATTTGCAAAATGCTTCGACTGACTCACATGGTCGTAAAAAATGAGTCAAGATCGACATAAGAGCATTTTAGAAGAAAAAAGTGAGTCAACTTGAAAGTGAGGCTGTATGCATGCGCGCGCATGCTTTCGTTACGTCATCCAAAATGCGCATTCTCGAGCCATATTTGAATTCCCGATCGACGACGCGACGTCGCCATCTTATATCTTGGATTCAGAAGAGTTTTGACTGCAGCTAGTTAAAAATTGGTACGCATAATTATTCATATGGTTTTAAACGATGCTTTTTATGACTGGATTCGTGGGCTTATTATACAAATGATGCATGCGTTCATTTTACGATATCCGCACTCGAGTTGATGAGGCTGTGTGTAACTTAACTATCACTAAGAAAATGACTGACAATGAGAGCGGACAAAATATACAGTTCCTCAGGTAGACAAAGGAACATCCCTTCACTGCTATTATGTAAAAATGTGTAGAACAGGTGTCACATGCATATTCACCTTTTTACATAATAGCTGTGAAGGGATGTTCCTTTGTCTACCTGAGGAACTGTATATTTTGTCCGCTCTCATTGTCAGTCATGTTCATAGTGTATAGATTCTACTGTATCGCACGAAGCCGTGTCGAATGAAAACATGCATGATCTTGCATCATTGTTTTATACAACGAAACTCCTAGATCCTTGTTATTTGATGTAAAACGAATCAATTCAAGATTGTTTCGTGACAGTATGGGTGACAAATAAATCTCAAGTTAAGGCTTAATTTAGTGCGTACAAAGTAGATTTTTCAGATTCGGGTAGCGGGACCACCGATTACATCGCTAAAATGTGATATTTTAGGATATATTTTCCATTGCAAATTTGGACAGTGACTCTGGCATGGTATGGTATGTGTGTGATAGGCCTAGGGAGTAGGGGGGTCTATGTCATGATGCACCCACAACAAAAAGTGAGTCACACTTACTCAAATTGATGAGTCACTGGTTTGTCCGTACAGCGAAACACTTGAAGGATCGTGTGAGTCACTATGACTCGATACAAATGACTCGAGTCATAGTGACTCACACGATCCTTCAAGTGTTTCACTGTACGGACAAACCAGTGACTCATCAATTTGAGTAAGGGTGACTCTCTTTTTGTTGTGGGTGTATTAATACTACTCCTACTACTACTACTACTAAACACTACTACTACTAATAATAATAATTATTATTATTATTATACTGTACTGCTATTACTACTACTATTACTACTACTACTACTACTACTACTACCACTACTACTCCTACTACTCCTACTACTACTACTACTACTACAACCACCACCACCACCACCACCATTAGTGGCTTCAGGCTTTGCGTGACGCAATTCAAAACTTACCCCTTACACAGCAATCAGTATCTTCGGTCGGGAGAGGTGTTTCAGTTTCAAATGCCTTTGCCTCATTAGCTGTCTATGAATGAGAAGAAAATGATACGATAAACTTTGGTATCTAACGAAAAACCGCACCGTTACTATGTGGAGCTGCTAAATACCATATCAGGACAATTACCCACTGGACAATCACCCCCCTGAAAATCGGTCGGTTTGTCGTCGATTTGGCGGTATGACCGAAGCATGATTGTGATAAGGTAATTCAGGCAAACCAGGAACCGTTTTACAAAGCCTTTTTTTCAATGACAAAGGACAAAATTTGAGTGACAAATCTGCTGATAACCAATCAGAAGCAAGGATTTCAGTAGCTTATAACAAAAACTGTCATTTGTCACTGATGACAAGTTCTGTGAAACATGGCCCTTCTCGGGACCGACAACATACCGATGTACACATGTCATTAGAATGAATGGCAAATAGACAGTCAGTTTGGTTGAGAATCGGACTGGAGTCAGGGTATTTTTTCGGTGTGACTGCAGAAGTATTCGGAAGACGGTCGACTTTGGAGGATAATAGATGTCCTCCGTTAATGAGACAAGTTTAGAATAATTTCTAACGATCTTAAAGACCGTCAATACTACTGGGCCAGAAGGGATTAGACCCCGCAGCGAGGTCACTGACAGGTGGCTTTCTCATTAAACTCAGCTCTCAACTAACATAAGAACAAGAGGATCATGGGGGAACAACAGGCGCCGATTTGGGAAGTTTTCTATAAAGAGGGAGCAAGTATAGCTGCAAGTAGGACAATGGGCTTTAATAACCATCAACTTTTCGACTTTATACTCATATTATGAAAAAAATAGTACATGTCTTTAGCTTGTGCATTAGTAGTATGCACTGCACTTGGTTAAGTCACAATGAGACGAACAATGAACTCGGCAAGTCTTGTTCATTATCCTACTGTGACTTACCCTGCGTGCAGTGCACATCCACTAATGCACTTGCAAACGTGTATATTCAAGAAGCAAAGAGAAGAGGTAAAGTGAACCTTACTAGTTCCATCTTCGATTCTGAGTGAGATACTCCATTTTTGCCAGTAGCAAATGATCCTTGTCCCGACAAAGCACGCCCTCGTTGGCCCTTAGCTGCCATCTCCACATCCGCGGATTGTGTATGGCTGAGATGGGAGTGACCACACTGTCCAATGTTAATCAAATTATTTGAAGAAAAAAATGTAATCATTTGATAATATAGAAGATAATGACGATGAAATATCACATTATTATGTTTTAGTATCGAAAGAATAGAGAGGGAGAGGGAGAGAGATTGGGAGAGAGGGAGAGAGAGAGATATAGAGAGGGTGGGTAGGAGGGAGGAGAGAGAGGGAGAGAGAGAAGGGGAAGGGAGAATGACGAGATTTGAAGAAGGTACGAGGCACCCTTCAATTAATTATTTGGATTCGTTTATTCCCATTTTATTTACCGAGTTAAGCCAACGCCCCCCCCCCCCCCTTACCTAAAAACCTTAGCATAACACCCGCCATACGTGTTAACCTTCATTACGCGCACTGGAGACAGTGCATTGTTGCGTCACATAAGAAAACCTACATAGGCACAGCAGCGCGCTACATAGCGTAACTTTCGCTACTATGGAAATATAAACACACACAAACTGAGTACGTGTAGTTAAATGCACGTTGCTCTCACACACATCATTATAGTAAACTTAAGTATTGTACCAACCATTTCTCATTACAGCTCTTGGATTATATATACAAATGGATTATGTGAAATTGATTTATTTTATTCATGATTATATTGGAGGAATTCACATAAGGTAGGAAAACGTAACAAAGTTACGTACATTTTTGTATTATTCGATATTTTGTTTTCCACGTTCATAATTAGTAAGGCCGTAGATCTAGATTAAAGAGGGAAATGTTGCTGTGTGACGGGGGATGTTATTAAAAAAGTTACTGGGAAGTCGTATTAAAAATGAAATAATCACAAACGATCATAACAGGGTTATGAACGCAAAGACAATACATTCGCACAAAATTCGATGTGAAACGTCGACTTTCAGATTGTTTTCATGCTTGCATGTATTTGCTTACTCATGTGTTTGTTATTTTGCTTTGATAAATGGGGCTTACAGCCATTCTAGTATTTGATCAAAACCAATAAAGGCAGTATTATCAATTTTCGTCAAAGGTCGATAACGGTTTTCCTCAGCGATTTTCAACCTTCTATGAAGCACATTACCGCAATATGGTCGCAAATTAACTGTTACGTAATGTAATTTTCTTCATAAATCTAGAATTCAATGTTCATGGTGTTCTCTGCTTTTTTATGTTTGTATTTGTTTGTTGCCTGTTTCTTACTCGTTATTAGTCTGTTTTATATTCATTTTCTGGTTGAATGTCTTCGGTTTTCGTTCATTATACCATCGAACAAAGCAGTCATGCTTTATAATATTTTTGTTTTCCTTTCTTTTTTTGGTCAACAAATTCGCGTTATAAATGTTCGTCAAATGTAGATTTATTAGTTATTAAAATAGATTCCTAGTTTCTTTTCCGGATTTGTTGAAGAGGAGGACGAAGGGGTCCGTGTTTTTTTTAACATGAAAGCCTATATTTGTTAACTGTTTGATTAATATTTTCTTCTTATGTGAGTCTGACATTTCTTGTATAGTTCATGAACCGAATTCAAAATATCACAAAAAGTTCAAGTAAACAAAATGAAAATATCACAATAGAATATAGTAGCTGCGTTATCGATCTTATTAGTAATATTACTACCTTTATGAAGCTCTTAATTTGCTCCAAGACGAAGAACGCACATATATATTTCCCCATTTTTTTTTTTTTGTATATCTGCTTATTCCGACCAAGCAATTTAGAACTATCGAAATACAGTTTAGAACACATCAATTTAGTTTAAAATGGCGGCCTACTTTCATGAAACTCTTTATCTGTTCGAAGAAGAAGACACATTATGTTTTTTTAAAATTTTTAATCTGCTTTCATTGCGACAAAGCAAGTTATAACTATTGTTTTTTTATGCTTTCATTATAAATAATATAGCTATTAAAAGACTGTTCCAATTGATTCTTGTAGTGGTGGTTATTTTACCTGACTGCTAGGAAAGCATAAATGCTTGTTAGTAGGCAACCATAGGACCTCACTGAGAGACCTGGTAATGAGGAGTAATGCCTTACCGAAGGGCACTAGCGCCTTGGTTTCGAACCCGGGTCGCCGAATTACGAGAACACTGCTCTACCAACTGATCTATCGCGCCTTCTGGAATTCACATGATTTAAAATGGTGGCCTACCTTCGTGAAACTCGTCAGCTGCTCGAAGACGAAAAAGACGTAGATGGCCATCTCGACGACAAGACACTTCCAGATATACGCCATCTCCGGGCTCGTAGGCGTATGAGCGCTGTGATCGCTGCTGTCGTGGGTGTGGAGACCCACAGCCTGCACGAGATTGAGAAAGAAACGTTTATAAGTATGAATAAGTACATGATGTATTGACCATATCAGGAAATTCGATTTCCACTGCGTGATAGAAGTAATATAATATAATGCATATAATGAGACAAATTACAATAGGTTAACAACTAAATTATTCATATGCCTACCCCATGTAAATTTGACCCCCCCCCCTTCGTATTCCAAGAACGAAAGATGGACTGGTTATATGAGGGCCTTTAATGAATACTTTCAGATGTTAGCTTTGATATGTCACATCTCAAGAAACATATTTCAGGACAACAATTGTTTACACACGCTAAAATAATGACAAAACTTGGTGTTTTTACAATCACTTCCATTTAAAGCATTACCAGTCAGCATACAAAAGGGTTCAAGAAAAAAAGAATGGTATGATTCCCTTCTCGACATCTCTTCTCTACAGCGGATGTGAGTTGCGAGGATGCCCCGAGGATGCAGAGAGGATACAGCGGACGTTTAACGGATGATAACGGACATAGAACGTTTGTTGCTTGTATTTTCGCGGATTTACATTGTACACGGCGGAAGTTCATCCGTTCTAAAAGTTTTGTGCAGCTCAAAACTTTTTGCGCGGATGAAATCACAGTGGACGGATGCTCGCTGGATAGAGCGTATGAAACACGTATGCAATGAGTACACAACGGGTGCATAGCGTTTTCCAACGGATGGCAAGATTTTGTTTACGTTTTACATCCTCTTTGCATCCGTGAGTGCAGTGGGACCGGGCCTTAAGGTAACATATGTATTAGAGAGCATCACCAGTCAGCATACAAAAGGGCACAAGTGAAGACAAAAAGAAAAAGAAGAAAGAGTGATGAATCCCTTTTAGGGATAAACTGCCCATTGCTTACCTGTGGTAAAAGATGTAAGACAGCATCACCAGTCAGAGTAGCCACGGCTAAAGCTATCATTGTTTGTATGGTCTTGTCATAAAAACCCTCTGACATACACGGGACGAACAACCCGCCGAGCACCGCAAACAGGCTGATGATGAAAACTGCTAGAGTGCCATATCCCCACACTGATTAAGAGGATACAATAGAATAGAATACAAAATCGATTATTAAAATAATAAAATATATTTATTTATCAAACAACAGATCAAGTTTATCAAATACATGTATTAGGGTCCTGCTGAATAAAATTATCATTAATGGTATATCGATCTGCCATCATTGGTAACTTCCATGGTAACATTGCTCAACAGCCAATCAAAATCAAGTATTTTATTGAAGTTACCATTGATGGCAAAGTGACCATCAATGATAAAATCTATCTATTTATCAAACGACGGATTCCATCAAATATATTTAAGTAGTCTGATTTTGAGTTTTGATTATCAATTACGTGAGTTTTCACCGTAAATAGATAAATACAATGCAATTATTCATTCATAAATTAACTTAAATTTGTATGTCTTCATACAGAGGAGATCAGGGCCCTATTTCATAAAAACGTGTTTTTATCTTCATACAAATTTGCTCTCACCCAAATATAATTATACTAAAACGCCACAATTTTAATAGTTTATAAACGGTTTTTTATCTTGATAATTATAACAAGCTTTATGAAACAAAGTCCATGTCGAGTTTTTGGACATTTGTTTGGAGAAACAATTCCTCAGCGAAAGTGCACAAGAGAGGGATCTTTCAATGACGCACCCCAAAACGGAAGGCGGGAGTCACAATAGGAAAAAAACTGAAATAAGTTTATTACATTCATTAAGAAAAAAATAGCTGGTGATATATCAACAAAATCACTAATCAGTTACACAAAATCAAAATATTATTACTACCTCTGAGTCAATGAACCCCCAAAATGGGAGGCATTAGTGATAACAAACAAGAAAGTGAAAGAAGTTAATTACATTTATTATGAAAAACAAGGCTGGTGATATCTATCTAAACATTTACACTAAATCACAATATTTTTACTCACTTTTTGCTTTGGAGATTTCCGATGGCTCAGTGGTTGTAATTTCGCATGCTCCACTCAAGATTTGTTGCACCAGTGACGGAGAAAGTTCGTTGAACTGTTCTTCGGTAATTCCAGCTTCATGGTCAATACCGTATATGTCAAGTAGTTCTTCGCTCGAAAAGCATGTCTATAGACAAGAGAGAGAGAGAGAGAGAGAGAGTGGTATAAAGTAACAGGGGGAAATCCTTTATCAATCTGATCTATTTATTTAAATACAGTGATTAAAATACATGCTTTCAGCTTGACATAGCTGTTTTCAACATGTCCCTACATGGTACATTATTAAGAATACAGGGCATTCTACTACGATATTGAGCCAATTTAGCTATTCCTCTTCTAACGAAGTATTTAAATCCAGCTTAAAACCCTTGAAATCTTCATTTTTCGTCATCATAATGACTGTTGAGATCTTTGGTCATTAAGTTTTCATATGTTTGAATGTTCGTGTCAAATGCTAATAGAATGTCTTCCAAAATCAGATCGTAGTCGGATCCTATGTTGTACGATGGGATTTAGAGTATATAGTAGTCTATTCGCCATACTTGTACGTAGAGTTTATTGAACTTTGGCTGATATTGAAGGCGAATTCAAAGACTTTCGTTGACTCAAAGAATGAAAAATGAAAAATGAAAATACAACCAAACCAAAACCAAAAGACAAAAAGACAAAAATGAAGAATAACTAAACTTTACCATACTTTTAAAAACTATAATCATTAGGGTGTAAATAGTGATGTAAAGGGAGGGGGGATTGATTGCAAAAGTCACAACCTATCTGAGGATTTGATTATACCTCAACGTTTTGTCGTTGATAGGCTATGTACATAATATGTCAGATATAAAATTGGATTATTCAGTGACATTTTAAAGGCATGTCATGAGAAACTATTTATTTCATTCACACTAAGACTGTTTCACCCTATATATCAAATGTCTTTTAAAGGCTTTTTTACAGCATTGTTAAGTAATCTTATTGTATTATTTAGCGAACCATTAATCCCGCTTTTTTTTTTGCCGACAAAATGAATAGGCCTGATCGGAAAGAAAAATACATATTTCAAATAACCGGGTGCGAGATTATAACAACATTTATAGACTTGATTTTTTTTTTCTTCACTGAGATACATGGAATGTTAACCTATTGACACCTTAAACCGGACAGTCCAACTCTTGAGAAAAGAGCACCAGCTGATCAACAAATGATATACGAGCATACAACCCTGATTCCCCCCTTTTCACTCTCGAATTAGTCCCATGGACGCAATTGGTTTAAGCACCAAGGCCCTGTTTCATAAAACTTGTTACCAATAACAAGTTCAAATCACAAGCTACTGAAATCGTGGCTTCTGATCCGCTGAGAGCAACTTTGTCATAGAAATTCAACATTTGTTATTCATGACAAGTTTTAAGAAACAGAGCCCTTGCAGTCGACACAATATTTGCCTTTACCAAAAGGGTGAAAAGCTCTCAACATAAATACATCGAAAAACATAGATAGCATTTAAATTAATGGGACATGTTTCGGAGTTTCAAACTCAATCCTCAGGATGAATTTCACAACCGAACTGAACACAATCAAGTTGCTTTTATATAATCCCTGCCTTCTCTGATTATATTAATGTTAAATGTCAGATTTAATAAACAGTTGGTTACCATTTTAATTGCGTGTTTCATGAATTAAGTACATTGTCATGAACAAAATACAACGTACATTATTCTGTTATCAATTTATTAACATAATCCTGATCAGAGCGCGGATACCAAACGAAAATCAACAAAATGTATTTGGAACATTAACATATATACATATATCACTTATCAGTTTACATAATAGTTATCTATTTTCAAAGATTGGGCACGATGTGCATAATATTATAACAGATAAGGACATAATAACGTCCTTGTTTTCACGAAGTGAGGAAAATCGTAACGCAAAGTGAATGCATTTTTTTTCTTCACTACCGTCACTTCGTGAAATCAGCGACGATAATAGTAATGGCATCATACATGTTTATCACATGCCCTGTTGAGGGCCAGAGACGTGTTGATAATATAAAAGGCCTGTTTTCATCAGCTCGAGATTGCCAAATAACCCGCTATTTTAACTATCCCGATCGCAAGTTATCAAGGTAATTTGCATCTTCATTTAGCCTGCAGTTGCAATTAGTGGGATAATCGGTCGAGATGATCATTCTGAGATATCTTGGGCTAGTTTGCAAAATATCCCGCTATTTGTCCAGTTCGTTTTTACCAGCCAGAAGACTAGCACTCCTGCGCGAACGCTGAGAAAAATATCTCGAGCGTCGAGCTGATGAAAACGCGATTTGTAAAACTTCGGGCTTATTTGCTTATCAGAAACAGCGGGCTATTTGGCAATCTCGAGCTAATGAAGAAATACCTAATTATCACCTAATCATCACCTCTCTGACTCACAGCAGCAATACGGACGTGACTTAAGGGAAGAGTTTGGTTTTGAGTTTCTGTTTGAAAGTTTCTTCTGTCAAATAGGCAGTGATGTTGTTCAAGTACCTAAGCGGACCATACACAGTTAGCGTTTTGTTTATGAATGATCAATAACACATTTAAATATATGTTTTGCTATTAAACACATAGGACTGTGTTTGTGTTTGGCATGGTCTTTGATGAATCATGAGAGAGTAAGATTGTTCAAGGAATGATTGGGAAATGAACAGTGAAAACATATTGCTATAGAATGGCGCATGTACTGATTGCGTCATAGGCATAATTAGCGTAAGCAGTTTGGCTATCGAAATACGCTTTGAGTACAACGAGCATTATCGTAATTCATCTTTTGACAAGTGTGTAAGTTTGTTTGTGTTAAATTAAAATATATGTTTCCATAAGTGAATCAAAACATGGAATATATCTTACATACGATTGATATGAAATAACATATAACGTAGAACATGTCACTCTTCACTATCATTTCACCCTCGTGTTGTGCGTCAAAAAAAAACCGGGCAGTTCGTTGACGCAGTCCTGTGTCAAATTATTGACGCATCGTGAGCAATTTCCATAACACATTAATTTCAATCCATCTTACCGTTGTAACGTTCGCAACGTGTGAATGGCTATGATTGGCGTGGTCGTGATCATCAGCCAATACCGTAGCTCGCTTCTCTATGCTCCGCCCCTTCGAGCGTGTTGCTATGACGTCCCTCCTCCTACGGGCGTGTTCATGGTCGTGGCCATCGTCCCCACCGATTCCGAGGTGTATCAGCATGTGCGCGAACTCTGCGTTGCGTTGTAAAGAGAGAGTTTAAAGAGAGTTTGAGTTAGACTATATAGAGGGAAAGCCGGGGAGAGGCGGCGGGGGGGGGGGGGGGGGGGAGGGGTTATCATAATGTTTTATCATAACAACCGAGGAATTTCACAAAAGTCTTTAAAAATTATTCTCTGCAAATTCGATCGTCAATGGATTTTCCTTACTTTTACATTTAAAGTTCGCTGCTCCACTGCACAAACACCCAAATGGAAATTTACCTGACTGATTTAACCTACCCCCCCCCCCCTTTTTATTTAAAATTAGATGCAAATGCCCAAGAAACATGAAATATTAATGCAGAACATCTGTTGTCCTGTAAAAATGTTCTTTGTCCGAGACATCGACCTTATAATTACAAGCAAATTCAATAACATCGAGCATCGAATTTGGAAATGTACGAACAAAACAATTACATCGTCCCAGAATGATTTTACATAGGAAACATGATAGGGTTTAGAAGATCCCAGTGGGTTGATTTCTAGGCAGTCTCTACGATCGTCGTATTCTCTTATGCTCACCTTCCTCGGTAATGACGCCCAACGTCGCAAACGTGTCGAAAATTGCCTCGGTGAAGTCCGTGGTCGAGGGCAGAATGGGTTCTCCTATGCAGTACCCTTGTAGTAGACCGGCGACCACGGCCTGCGCCGCATATTGGAGCTCGTCATCGTCAGCCCCTGCTTCGTGGTTATTCACGGTTTCGTCGAAGACAGATTCAACGCTAAAGCACTATTAAATTTACGATAAAACGAGAGAGTTCGCATTAATTTGATTTTTCTAATCACCATCTGATAGTCCATGGATGGAATGCTCATGATCGATCTCAACACCTACTTATTTAAGAATTTATTACGTTAAAGTTATATTTAAAACAAGATAGCAACTACTTTCGATATATCAACCAAACGCAATCTTAATATATTTTGTGGGTCACCTAAAAAGATGGCAATGGCATATTAGTTAATCCAAATAGGATTTCTATGGGACATAGAGTACCGAAGCTGTGAAGTCATAACAATCTATTTTTAGAATTTCTCAATTTTTTTCTTCATTTTCCGAAAGAACATCAAAAATAATGTCCAAATGTCGAAAACCAATTGAATATGTTAAATATTGGCTGAGATATGAACATCTGAATAAATATACTCCCCATAGGAACTCAGTGTTATATGCTCTGGCTCCTAATGGTTAGAAGCCAGAGCATATAACACTGAGCTCCCATTGGACATATATTCATTCAGATGGTCATATCTCAGCTAAAAATAGATTTTTGATGACGTAATTAATTAGCGTCTTTCACTCCTAGCCGTATTTTTCCTTTTTAATCCGAAATGTTTTTATTCTCCAAATAGAATTACTACAAACCAAAACAAAGTTAATACAAATGACATCATTCAGAAATTAAATAAATTACAAGTCAAACTAAATGTATACATTTTCTTTTGCACCCAATACAGTATACAGAGGGAGAATATTTGAAATACTCGTTTAAACACATGTTTACGTAACACAACATAAAACAATGCTTTGTTCAGAACATGTTAATAATCTTTTAATCTTGATCTAAGGAGACACGAACGAACGAAAGTAAAGCATAGTTTTAGCCCTGAATATAGAGATTTAACTTTTTAAAAACATATATAAAAAAAACAATACCAAACTCAAAACACACTCACAAAACAAATTACATTCGGTCCTTCTATTCCTCATGTATACGCACATATAGTTAAACAGACACACACCACCTTTAAACACCCCAAATAACGTTATATCACAAAGTCCACCAGTCAATATTTGTATTATAAGAACCTATGCCAACATTAAATGTCCCTCACCTTCGCGTTCGTTGACTCGGCATAGCTGTCATGGATCGATTCCAAGATTACTTCCAGGTCATTCTCAGTCAAGGTCAAGTTAGACGAATCAGGTGCCGCCATCTTGAGTGACGCCATCACCACACTTTCAGTGAGATCTGTGCCGCCACGACCGGCCTGGCATACCGCCACCATCTCGTACGCTCCGAAGAGGAATAAGGGACTAGCACGGAGAAACGCGGCGTCATCGAGTCCGTCGGCAACGTCGATATCGAGGCTGGAAAAGACGTCAGATGTGAAGTCATGTTGGCACTAGAACAGACGGAGGAGATAGAGAGTGAGGATGTAGTTTAGACCTTCTAAAAATTAACTCAGGGCAATTAATCTCGTGTTTTATTGCCTTTAAATTATCAGCGTTATTTCACCTCTTGGGTGCCACAAGACGTCTTTAGGTGTACCGTAAGAGAAATGAACTAAAGATCATTCTTTTTTTAATCCATTAAAGAAATAACACTCTAAAGACAACTAAGTGTCCCTTTTTTTTCTCGCTCCTTCGCAATTTCATTTAGAAACGATGTGATTTCAGGCAATAAAGTGCTAAATACCCAAATTAGAAGTCAACGAGGTTCCAGAATGTCTTTCGTAAGAGAAATGAACTAAAGATCATTCTTTTTTTAATCCATTAAAGAAATAACACTCTAAAGACAACTAAGTGTCCCTTTTTTTTCTCGCTCCTTCGCAATTTCATTTAGAAACGATGTGATTTCAGGCAATAAAGTGCTAAATACCCAAATTAGAAGTCAACGAGGTTCCAGAATGTCTTTCGCATACATAACATCATTACTTATCTAGTGTATTATGTTTACAAAATAGCGGTTAACTATACAAGAAATGTCATTGTTTGTTTTGGCTCGCTTCGCTCAATCTCAAAGTTTAGGGGCAATATGAGTCCGTTCGTGTGTTCATGGCACTTGACGTGTACCAGCGTGATTAAACATAGAGACTTATAGATTTGCACAACGGAGAACGTAGACTCACCTTTAAAGGCAATGTGACGTCCTTTTAAGGCACTGGCAGTGACGTCACATTGCCTTAAAAATACAGTCCACGTTCTCCGTCGTATAAGTCTTAAAGGTTTTGTACTTGTCCTATTGTTGTATTCCCGCCAGAAAGGGAATGAGAAATCCTCTGTAAACACACAACGACCCTCGCACGAGCGCACACCCGAGCCAATAGCACGCAACCCATCTTCCCAAGCAGATCCCAAGCAAAGCTAGATCTAGTTATTAAACTTAATTTAATTGTTAAAGCTTTAATCCTGAAAAAATCCTAGGAAATTAAGGACACTATTGAGGCGTTGCAAGAAAGTTGAGTTGCAATTGATTGCAAATATCAGATGCCAATTTACAATCAATCGCAACTTTATTGCAACGCCGAATTAGACATCATTTTTTTTTAATTGCTTTAGCGCCTTATCAGGGCGGCTCAGCTACAAACGTTTTGACTGATATGATGCTGTGTATCGCGGTAGAGTGTTATTTGCATTATAGCTGCGTTATAATTACGAAGGGGCAAATGATTATTCAATAAAAAAAAATAAAAAAAAGGTTGTGATAACAAAATAGTTGTTTACATATTAAGTATCGATTTGTTAAGAATAAACAAACATGATCAGTTTTAAAAAAAGGGTTTTGTATTCATGTCCCTTTCGCCAACAGTTTGACCAAGAGCAGTTCATAGAAAATATGAAATCAAGTGTTGTGAGCATGAGTTGGCCTAGACTTACCGCAGATAACTTTCTTGATGTAATTAATTTCTAAATAGACCGGTTTCTGAACATATTCAAATTTATAGATGTTTCTCTCTTTGGGACCTAGTAACGAGGTTTCCATTAATATGTTATTAATGAATGAACTACAATACTTGGAATCCAGATTACATGCATTACTTTTTGCCATGTCGGGCAATCCTAGGACGAGAACAACCTTTTTTTAAACAGTATGTATACACTTGTAATAATAGTAAACCAGTCAAATAAAGTAAATGATTGTAATTAATTTGTTATATTTTGTTGGGAACAGAAATAAAAAAAAAATAAAAAAACAAGTGAATCGAAAAGAAATGCATATAGCAGAAGAAGAAAAATACAAAACCTAACAAATGGAAAGGAAAAAGTTAATATTATTATTTGCTTCTGCATTTTGGGGTCTAGCCTTGCGGAAGAGCATCAAGGGGGGGGGGGGGGCGTAAATACACAAAAAATCAGCATCCATGACAAGAGGGCCATATTTTTCAGAGGTTTTAAAAGTGCAATGGCGGCTGTGCCCTTTTAAATCCGGCTATGTGTTGCGGGCCACATTCTCAATTGTTGATCTTCAATCTCAAAATCAATACACAAAGGGAACTTGCCATAAAATAATTGAAAAAAAAAGTTAGATGCATGTACTTCCTCATAGTGATACAATACATCCGTATCATGATTTATTATCTGTTTGTTTTCACCACGTTTTGTGTGCGTGCTGTGCGTGGGAACAATATTGCGATTTAACATGTAGTTTGAATAACTCTTTCATGCGCATGGGCTTAGTTCATGCACCGCTAAAAATGTCCGTAGATATTGGATTAACTTTATTTAGTTTGTATCCCATGATGCACTACGCTTGAATGCTCGCACTCTAAATAAAGGCGTGGTTTTATGACTTGCTGGGTCTATATTCTAGAACGCGCAATTGCGGGTGTTCTCATCGCATTGTGTGTTAGCTAGTGAGATTTTCTTCGTTTGATTTTCATTCTCTTTCTCTTTATTTTCTGCTTTCATACAATTAATCATATTAAAAAGGTTGGGTTTCCCTTAATCAAATGAACACAGATGTTGTCTGGAGAGAAAACTCAATAGTCCTTGTAAACAAAATAAAATAAAAATATCTACGTAACTATGAAGGATAAGTATTGGTATAGCGATTTTTAATTATATTATAGAGACTGATATCATCACATTTTATTTGAAAAGAGGAAATTTTATAATTCAATGTTGGTGACTTCGGTATGTAGGAAAAGTAAGAAAGCAAAAAAGAAGAAAAAGAAATAAAGAAAGTAAGAAGTATAGAATGAAAAAAAATAATGAACAGAAGATAGACAAAGGAGAGGGAAAAGAATAAGATGGAGGAGAAGGAGAAGTAGGAGGAGAAGGAGGAGAAGGAGAAGTAGGAGAAGAAGATTAAGCAGAGGAAGGATAGTTTAAGAGAGTCACAATGTCTTAATATTCAAGCTCGTCGATTTCTTCCCCCCCCCCCCCCCCCGAACCGTCGCTCTCTCTTTTGCTTTTTCTCTCAGCTTGACTATTGCGATGTAGTTCGGTCAAATAATGTTCTCGAGCACTCTGATATCTTGTAGAAATAAATGATGAAATTACATAAAAAGTAGGAAAAAATTCGTCTGGGGACTCACTCTAGTACTTTTAGGCCTATTCTCTACCTTTAAACAGAAATCCAACCTTTGCAATAGATCAAGTTGTATAAAAGGAGAAACTCAAAGGAAACAACAAGGTGGAAGTTTGAAATAAATCCAACCTATTACAAGAAAGTTACGAATGTGTTTGAAAATATAAGAGCACCTCAACTACGCGAATCTCAAATTCGCAATTTATTAGTTCACTTGATTCCGACGTATAGTGCCGGACAACTTTCACATAATTTCCAACAGAAAAGAAAATGACTAAAAAGTAGGTTTTTTCAAAATGTATCACTCAGGAAGGCCATTTCTATGTTGGAGACCTTTAATAACATATTTCGAGTACTGGCCCTGAGGAGAAAACTTTTAGGAGATAAACGGACA